GCGGTTCTCTTGGACAGCGCGTGTTCCTTGTCCTCTCTATGAATTAGAGTCGGGATCGTTGTGGTCGGGGATCAGGTTGAGCCTGAACTCCGAGCCCGCTCCGGCCGAACTTCGAGCTCAATGAGTTCGTCGGTGTGTCTGTGCGTCTGTTCCTTCGGCTGATCGTGGGTCGTTTGCTGCCACTGGACTCATGTATGAACAGCGTATGCGGTCGCCAGTTCAGCGTTCCTACCACACCTCAATTTATCAGGCAACTCGAGCTTCCATCGTTCGCTTGCTTTCAAGTGCGGGGCCTGGACGTTATCCCGAAGCTGGTTGAGGGCAGTGTCTTCTTCGGGAATATTCTTGAGGCAGCTCGTCGGGGACGGCGTCGGAAAGTGCAGATCGGAATTTAATTAGCTCGGCTCAAAAGAGCGATACCTCCCTCTGATTGATACGTTCGCCGGGGAGAATTGTCGAAAAGATTCCGAAAATCTCTCGCACTCTATACCGTTAACTTTCCGTGGTCGAATGAACGGCACCGGGGAGCCTTCCTCGGACACCCCGTGGCCCGTGCGGGATTCCGCGTAAGTTCGAGCAGTCAGTACAATTCACTTGAGACAGACGTGTCTTAGCTCATCCACGCACTTCCTCTCGATTCGGTGTACAAGGTTGTGTATGTGTTGTGTATGTGCTTGGCATGGTGCATAATTAACGACCCCTTCCACTATGGGCTTGCTTCGACTGGTCAACTCAGAGACGGGGACACTGGGGGCTCCGAGGAGGAGGAGGAGGCAAGGCGGAAGGAAGCTCGTTGAGTCTCGTGAGGACGGAACCGAGGGGCGAGGGAAGAAGAAGAGGAGCTTCGGTGAAGGATCTTGCGGACTGGAGCGGTCACCTAAGTGGGCAGCAGCTACTCCGATATCGCCTGAGGTGACCTGCGGCGCCGGTCGGGGAAGCGCGAGTTCTGCGGCTAACGTTCAATAATTATTATAGGTGAAGTTGTCACGGCCTTGCTCAACATGAAAACGCAGTTCCGGGCGTAGTCGTGGATCGGACCCGAGGGAATCCTGGCCTGAGCCAAATGCGCGATTCTTCTCGCGACACGTGTGATATAACATGCAGAAAACCCGTCCGTGAAGACGTCTGGAGCTCCGGCGGTGAATCCGATGGCGACTGAAGGAGCAGGTGGCGCAGCTGGCAGACGACACTATAATCCTGGAAAGGCCACCATCGTGTTAAGAGAAAACAGACACCGGAGTATGACCGAGATGGGGCTGGCTGGCTGTCTGTTTGGTCGACCAACCGGACAGCCAGCCAAGCAACGAAGCGAGCGACGAACGAACGGGGCAAGACGAGTTATAATCATCGTGATGGACACATCAGGTCTCCGAGGGAAGGAACAGCCATTGGGTAAGCTAGAGGGGAGGTGACAGGAGGGGAGGGTCGGCGAACAGAGCGTCCCACCGACCAGCCAGCCGCCGTCGCGGCAGGAGCAGCACTAAGGAATCAGGACGTGACAGCGAGCAGGACCAATAAAAGCCCGTTCCGTGTCGATCCCGCTCCCTCTTCAGCGTCCAAGTGTGTGCCGATCCCGCAAGACAGCCCGAGCCGACCCACGCACACGCGGCGATCTCTGGGAGCCAGCAAGCCATCCGGGCCACGAGTCAACTTTGGGAACCGGTCGGAGAGAAAGCCCATTTTTCCCCGGGTGTCGGCCGCTAAAATGGCAGAGCCGACCGGACGGCAAACTCCGACAATCTAACCATCTGGTCATCCCGGACAGCGACGGGGATGAAGGAGAACAAGACCTGGGCGGGGAAAAGCTGGGCGGTGGGAACTTGGAAGACGGCTCAAAAAGTGGCACCGGCTCATAGTTCTCTCTCGGGCGCGTTGTTTGCTCTCCCTCTGGTCTGGCACCCCTGTCCTGCTCTCTCCCCTTCCGGCACATCCTCCTTTTTGGACTTTCGAGCAGCAGCAGCAGCACTTTCCGTTGCCCTGTCTGTGGAAGTGTTGTCCCTCCTCCCTGACAGCGTACGGCAGCTGCGGCGACGTCAGTCTCGACTCGAACGACGGGTCCCCCTCCATCGCAAATCCAATTTGGGCTCCCACGTCAGAAGAGGGAGGAGGATGGGAGCAGCGAAGACGACGGCCACGAGCAACGGGAGAAGGAGGACGACGACGACGACGCCGCAAGGAGGAAAGGGATGGAAGGAGTGCAGGGGACGTCGAACGAGACGTCGCTCGGTCGAGACGAAAGGATGGGACCGAGGGAAAAGGACGTCACACACACGACGAGAGGACGAGCAAGCGGGCGTCAGTCGTCCACGAGCCGAGAGAGAACCGTCGTTCGCAGACGAGCGACGGCTCTGCTCTCCTCCCAACGCTTTCGATTTATTTTTCCTCCGGAGAATCTTTCCGGACCCTTCTTTCTTCTCTCTCCTCCAGGGTCAGGCCGGATGCTGTCTCGGAGGGTCCAGCCAATCCATTCTCAAACATCAATCTAATGAAACGTCCAGCGTCGGTGTGTCTTGTCCCCGTCAACAGCGGGATGATCACCTCCTTATGAATGGGAAGACTCCCGTGTGGGGTCAAATTGCAAGAAATGTTCCAGGACCGGAGGAACCTGGTTGACAATCGGCGAGAAAATCCGGAAAACTTGCCTCCATCCTTCGCTCGCCGCAGAGCTTGATCGCGGTAGGCACCGGGATGACGTTTTGTTCCCTTGCAGATGGAGAATGACGGGTATTCAGCGAAATTAACCGAGACTGGGCAACGGAACGAAGCGCAGCGACTCCATGGCCTGCTCCGCCGAGATAAACAATGCCAGTGCTTTTTCTATCCCTCGAGCCTTGAGAGGGACGGCCGGCGGTCAGACGAGTCGTCGTTCTCTCAGCTGTACGTGTTCTCGGATACACTACCTTGCTCACTCAGAGACCTCTCGCGAACTTGGCATGCATCCAACCACTAGGTGTCGTGCCAGCCCCGAAGAGACCGTCGTCGGTTGCAGTACTTCAGGTGGCGTTTTGCTGCGGTCTCAAACGGACGTATGAAGCTTTTTCCCCGTCGCGTCGCCCCGTGTCCCGCAAAATTGACTCCAATCCAGCGACGGCGGGCCGTAAGGGTAGAACGGGACCTTCAGCTACGGGATTCGTTGCATACTCGTTTCCAGCTTTCCCTGTGTATTTAAAGATTGTCTCCATTGGACTCGTGAATAGAAGCCGACTCGAGGTGTTCTGAACGTTTGTGGGTACGTGGTATGAAGGATCTTCCAGTCCGGGAAGAACTCCGGTCCTAGAGCCCCAAGCTGTGAGGCTCTGAAGGAGCAGCAAAGGTGAATCTCGAGTTCGGCGGGGCAGCGGGGGATTGTCGGCTCTCAAGCCATGGCTGGTGGCTGCTCGAGAGCCATCATTTACGGTCATCTCGCGTGTGTTCGGTGGGCGGCGGTGGTTCGCATGGCAAGCCATGCAGCTTGCCTTTTCGCATATTTCAAAGCCAAGTCAAAACGAATTGTTTCTCGCCAACGCATGTGCTCTTCTTAGGCAAACGAGCGGTCCAACCGATGGACGCCCGAGTGCTCGCGGACGAATGTGTGAGCAGGCAGCAAAGCGGGCTGAGAAACGGCGCGAAGCCGCCCCCGGCTGGTCGTCGACACACTGTGGCCTCCGCTCGTTCCGACGAATGTATGCAAACTCATCAACGATTTATAGCCATAAGGATATATTTCAAAACTGCCGCTTCTTCGGCGAACCACCGCTTCTGTTCGGCTTCGCGCCGGATACCGAATGGGGTAGGCTCCCGAACGAGGACGATGGACGCCGTCGGCCGGTCAGAGGGAAGTGGATCTTCGGGCCGAGGGAGGGCCGGGGCTCGAGAGTAGCCGGGGCATGCTCGCTTGCGTCCGCCATCCGGCCAGTCGGTGGGACTAGAGAAGCAAAGGAACGAAGCGACCGGCCGGCCGGCCAACCAGAACCCCTTCTCTTGCCTCGTATCCCGTCCTGAATGCCTTCGTTGTTAGGCTTTTCGGCTATTCCTTCGACTTCTATGCATAGGCAGCGGGGGAGGCTTTGCAGGCGGAGAGCTCGCTCTAATGCGTCTATTCCCTCCGTTTTTCCTCCTCCCGCTTCCTCCGCTACCCCCGATCGGCTCCCGTCGGATCCGAGCTTACTCGGTGGTAATCCCGTCTCGGAATGCTCTGGTAGCCTCGCGATCAGCCGGCGTTCTTAACGCGTGTTCCTCAGCTCGCGTATGCTCTCCCCCGATGACTTCTTTGCCTCTTATCTCCTCAGCCTGTCCTCCTTCCCCTCCCGTCTTCTTTTTCTTCTTTTTCCTTCCCGTCAGAGCCCCCGAGTGTTCTGAACAACTTTGACGGGAAACGAGGGCTGCGTGGAGGAGTGAGGGGACGTGCGAATGAGAACGCAGGGAGGGGGACCTGTATGGATCGAGGCGACTTGAATGTATTCCCAAACGTTCTCCTCCCGTTTCCCGACGATACGGATAATCTCATGGGTAAACAATTGAAATTTCTTCTCGGCAGCATGTTTCGTCGAAGGCTGATTGGAGTCGCCCGCCCATCTCTCCGAACTTGAGATGCCCTACAAAAGCGTTCGGTGCTCGGGTTGACGCTGTCGGAGTCAGGAGAATACCGGTCGGCAGTCTCTGAATAGTCTCGTATACGATTCTCGGAAGAGATCAGTGAGCTTCAGCGGATATCTGGGGAGCTGTGAGCTCGTCGGCACAGGATTCTAAGCTTCATTTTCCAGGGACACCCAGATATCCCCAAATAGCTCACCCGGCTCCCGACGCTTCAGTATACGGCTGATAACAGAGCCCTTCGTTCATGAGGGACGGCCGAGACCGCAGCGTACCGGCGGGATATTTCAGTGGGGAATATGTCGAAGGAAAATACGAGAACACGAGTTTCGGACTTTTCATTCGGTAAAAATTCCTTTTCTTTTGGCTATTTCCGACAATGTGGATTTGTAAATAGGAATACTACGATCTCGGTCTCGATTGCAGTGCTACACCGCTGTCTCGCGTATTATTCGACAATTACTCCGATCATTCTCCGTGTCACTCTCCGATGCATCCTCATCGATGAACTCGATTTTTCGATCGCTGAAATCGAGCGGGGATCCATCAGCTGGAGGAGCCCCTCTCTTGATCTCTTCGATGACCTCATCAACTTGTGTGCTTCCTTCTTTATCATATCGTCTGTCGTGGATGGAGAGCCAAATACCGACCGGTATCCAGAGTGAGGATGAGAACAGGATGAATAAACTCACACCGTATTTCCGCATCACCCGGATTATATAGGACGGGCTCAATTCCGAAACGATGCCTATGATCCTCTCGATGACGTCCTGAACTTGTTTCCGGCACTTCCGGTCCTTGCAGACACCCACGGAGCATACGGTTCCGTCAGCCAAATAGTCTAAGGGTGGGATCGGCTCGCATTCGTCGTCAATCGATTTTTTGCAGCACCGTGTGCAAGCATCCCGACCTCTGCAGAGACAGGGTAAGAGCCCGGAAACTTCACAGTAGCTGATGCATCTGCCGTTCCGGCACTGTCCTCTGTCCACGCACGACGAGTTATCGGGAAGGGCTTTCTGGACGGGGCATCGTCCCGAATCGCCCGAGCACCTCGATTCGCGCAGACACTCATTCGCGAACTCTGGCTTGCATACGGAACCCTCCGGCATGAGCTGACAGTTCTTACAGCAGAGATCGTTCGTGTCGCTGCAGAGTGCGTCGGCTCGCAAGCGGCACTGAGTGTCGCAACAGGGGTCGTCCTCGGACATGCCGACATCACACTGTTCGTCGTCATCGAGAATCATGTTCCCGCACGAAGACGCGAGCCTGAAGCAGCGGCTCTTGAATTTCACCACGGTAAGGATCTGACGCAAGCTGCAGCTCGAGAGGCGGTCGTGGTTCTTGTTGTATCGGCTCACAGGTAATCCACTCATGAGGAACGGTCCTCCGCGTTTGTCCGGCGGATTACATTCGTCTGAATCGGGATCGTGCTCCGCACCCAAACCGTGAGCCAACTCGTGGGCGACCAGGAGATCGGAATCTCTTATGACTTCCCGTCGTCCATGCGACATCGACGTCGCGATCCCAGCGTTGAGCACGTACTCGGAACCGTCGCTGTTGTTTCGAAGGGTGCCCGCACAGACTCCGCTCTCCTGCGACGAGTGTCCGATGTTCGCCAATCCACGGGTCCGACCACCGTCGAGGGTTCGTGCCGTGAAAAGGAACGCGAGGCAGAATCCACGATTGTCGTGATTCCTCGCGCGGTCGATGACAGTGAACGAGCTGAGCAACTGCGATGTTGTGACATTGTCCGTCTCGGGCATGTTGAAATGAACTTCGTCTGGAGACACCTCGGTCGGTGTTTCGAAGATCTTCACGAGGCCTGGGGCGACATCGAAGGGCAGCTTCAAGATGCTGTTGACGCGCAATATCTGGTGGATCATGAGATTTTTGGTCATCTGAACGTTGCCAAAACCGATCCGTCGATAGTAGGTGTGGTCGGCAACCAGTTTGAGAACGCAGCGTTGTCTCGGCGATGCTGCGTCGCTGACAAATCCACCGCTGTCGTCCGCGTCCGCATGATCCGCGCCGTCTCCCTCGAGATAGTATTCCTTCGAATATTCGCGACCGTGGGCCGAGTCGCGGACTTCACGACGATCCCGTACTGGTGATTCGCTGCGATGCCCCCCCTCCCGGAGGAGATCGTTAATTTCGCTTTGTTTGTACATGATTTTATCCACGTTCACTTCCGTGTTCAGAGATCCATTTTCGACGACGTATGCGCGGCCGCGATACCGGACGCTCGCGGATTGCAGAGCGGTGTCAACTCGGAATACAACGGCATCTGATTCATTGGCATTGTTTACACATCCCTGCCAGCATTCAATATTGTTCCTCGTTTCTGCCTTGAGATCGATGCCGCTCCCACTGGTGTGCGCTGACTCACAGAGGTGCAAGTTTATCACAAATAATTCACTTCTCGTCTCGAGCACTAAAACACTCCGCGGTTGTTGTGACCGCTCCGGGAGTTGGTCTCGACAATGCTCCATGTGCTCGAGCTCGGACGAATTTCTCGAGAAATTCTCCTGGCAGAGGTAGAATCGCGCAGCGGAGCGCGGCAAATATTCGATTGGCTCCTCCAGCAAGCCATCATCCGCGATCTGGTGTTCGGGGTACCCACCGAGTGCGTGAACGTCGACCGCAACCGAGTGGAGGGCGAACAGTCCCAGGAGTAGCGTGAACTCCATGCTGAGGCCCTCGCGCGGGCACAGCGGCTCGCCGAGACACGCTCCTCCGTTATCCTTCCTACGGGAGTCCTCTCAGTTTTCGTAGTGTAGGTCATTCACAGAAAACGTTCCCGGTGTCGAAACACTCCAGCGATGACCCGTTCTGGAGCGAACGTTCTAATTCATCGCGCGTCGGCGGGAACGGAACTACTCCCAGCGCATCGGAATCCACTCTGTCTGGCAAGCGCCTGAGCACACTAACTCACCCAGAGGGTCGCTGGCTCTCCGCCGCCTAGACACTTCCGTCGACTAGCGACGTGCCAAAAAGCGGACGGAGGAGCCGGCCTGCCGACCGACCGACCTGACAGCGAGCCGTGTTAGATAGAAATCCACAGGGACACACTTGCTCTCGCGAGCTGAGCCGCACGCACGGAACCGTCGGCGCACAATGCGGCACCAAAAGTTTTGTCGAACTAGCTCGCTACACTGCTGGTCGTGTCTCACCCGGTGTCGCGAAAAGCGCTCAAGTGTCGGAGCAGAGGTTGTCGATGCGATTTTGGTTTCAGCGAGCGGATGCGGAGTCTGCTGCGACGCGTGGATGTCTGCGGAGTGAGTTCTGTCGCCGGAGCGACCAGCGCGTCCTACTCGCTGTGACTCGATGTGGTCACTTGACATGAGCGGCGGTGCATCGCTCCTCGAAACACTTAGCGGTCACACTATGACTGCGGAGGAGCGAATGTCAGCGTTCGATCGACATCGATGAATTCAGTCGGGCTGCCGAACTTTCGCTGCTGTGGTGTTTGGACTGGTGATGGGCGAAACCACGAAGTCAACGCTCTTCGTTCACATTGACGCTGGGGAACGACAAATTCGAATGCTACCTGGAGATTTACTACGAAATGAGAATCGATATTGGTCATGCTCGGACTCTAGATATCGTCCACTTCCTCGATGTTTGACATTCTCAACGCACTTGATGCATCGGATTTCGCTTGGCGCACCGCCGGATCATTCTCGATTCCTCCTTCTCGATGTCTGTAGAGTATCGAATTCCACTCTAGGCGACCATAGTGTCAGTCTTGTAGGTCAAACGAAATTCTCCCGGAGCGTTTGGGGAAGAGGCAGCCGCGGTTTATCGCGGAACGATACCAGAATATTCATATTTTCCCCAATCGTGAAACGCCTCCGGAAGTTTCCGATTTTTTCCCGTCGAGTCCTCGAGATCTGACGACCGGTTTTGTCGTCAATCATCGACTCCCGGCAGGTATATGTCGCTCATCATTCCCGTGCCATGGCGACGCCGACTGAGATTCAGGCTTATGTGGAAGCGGGCAGGACTCGAGCTCACCGCCAGTGTCCCCGGTCTCCCTGCCATTGGTCGCCATAATGAGGCCCTTGGGCCCTAAGAGCCTTAGGTGGTGGGTGAAGCGAAAGAGCAGCAAATCTTTGTCACTCGCGTGTCGCCGCGCCGCATAAAAATCTCGTCGGGCTGCCGACGTTCTCGGGAGAGCTCTTCGAGGCTTCGTGTGGAGATGATTGAATTCGATTGACAATACTCGATCGACGCATACTACACGGACGAAGATTTCCTCTCAAGATTAGGCCTCCAAGAGGAAATACAGGACCCTTCGATCGTGACAAATACCAAACGAATCCTAGAAAAATGGGAGAAGGAGACCAAAGATCTGCTTAGTAGCGCCTGACATGAAAGGCTGATGCGCCATCTTGTAATATACATAGAAGACCCATCTAGATCAATAAATTACCATTACCATTACCATAATTTTCAAATAGGGGAGAAATGACAAACAGACACTCGAACGACCCCAGATTGTCACCCACTGCAGAGTACCAATCTCCAACAGGACGATTGGAGACTTGTCGTCTGTTCAGTGGGTAGCTCTTCTTTTTCAGAATCGGGGCTCAGAAAAAAATGTTCTTTCTCTTGAGACCAGGTAAACGCTATTGTTGTGTGTGCCGTGGTCGATTTGCTTCAGCACGAGCCGAAATCCGCTCCCTCCTTTTTCGGCCGAAACATATTTGATTTAGTTTCAGTCACGACTCATCTCGTTTTGTGAATGGGCTTCATCAGTTTTTCCTCTTTTTCGTTTGCCGATAGTAATGTTTCGGTCTCTCATTGCCGTCGGCACACCGGTGTATGCAGTGGAACGGGAACGCTACTCGGATCCGAACATTAATCACATTGCAGTTACAGAGACGCTATTGATGCGATCACGATGCGAGTCGAAGATGCGGTTGGCGTACAGCACCGTAACATTTCAACAAGCTCAGTCGATCCTCGTGCTTGGACTTTCGGGATTTAAATTCATTTTGTTTCTTACTCCATAAGGTGAGAAAAGCCACATCGCTTCTCGGAAATTCGAAGTTTGAAGGTCGATGATGTCGATACTGAAGAGGAAAACCGTTCACCGCTTCCCCGTTCTGAAGATGATAATCGGCGGTATTTCATCTCACAAGAATCGGTGAGCGTACTCGCTACACCTAATTCCGACCCGTAAAGAGCTCCGGAGGATTTTCGAGACGACCTGTATCACTCGTCAGTGAGCATACTCTGACGACGATTATGACGAAGGTTGACAGTGCAACGGGCTACCGAGCAGTTCTTCGCACAGTCCCTCAGCGTACGCGGGGACTGCGTTCCCTGCCTCTGTATACCGAAGTTCTGATTTGGACTCTATTTCGATCGGCATCCACTGCCGTCATGAGCGTTTCTATCGGATAAGTCGAGCCACACGGTGGTCGAGCTTAGCTCGGTGGATGAACGGATGTGACCCTTATTTGTGATATTCGCTAAATGTACGTTCCGAATTCGTTATGAATATCATTATTACGATTCGGTATTGCTCGCTCTATTTCACGCTTACTTACGTCCATGAGAACGTTGTCGGCGGCCGTGATTATTAATTTCGATTTTCGGTGTTTTCGAACGTCAGAGGCGTGCAATGGCAGCTGGGCTTCGTTACAGCTGACACGGACTTCACGACTCGGGCGGTCATCTCTCGTCGAGAATCGATCACTGACACCGGCAAAACATCATCCCAAAATATACGAACAACAAGACCCCTGGCCACGCTTCCTCGTGTGATTTATCGTCAGCCGCTGGCCGATACGACAGCGACGGCTGACACCGACACGGAGCGGGAAAGGAGTCCCGATCATTTCTGACCGTACACAATGTACACAGCGAGATTTCTGCTCCCTCATAATGTCGGCGAATAAACAAGAGCGCTTTCGGGTGTCAATATTCCACCGATTCCGCGATCCGCGGGACCTCGAGGAGAACTCTCGCTTCGTGAGTAGGAACGAAACGCGTGGAAAATATACCTATTCCCCCGTCCTTGTCTCCCGGAGATCCCGGTTTGCCGTAGCCGGTATCCCGACGGTCAAATTGTTGATTCCTTGCCGGTTGATTCCTTTCAAAACTTCCACCGAAGAATTGTTATGAACGGCCCATGAACTATTTCGCTCTGATTTGTCCCGAACCGAATCATTGGGGGCTGGCTCGTGTTGGGAGATCAGGTTCAATTTTCCTCAAGATTCACTGCTTCCAATCGTCCTCTTAGAAGCAGGAAATTCTTGCCCTCGGGACTTTCAGATTCCCATTGATTCACCCTTTGATCCATCCCCTCGACCGTCCCCCTTCCAACAATCTATTCATTCTTCTTCTCTCTACACACAAGTGAGACAGGCAGCTGGTGGCGCTTGCAGGAGTGCGGATGAGGCTGGCTTTGCTGCTTCTGATCAAATCAGACTTTCAAATTCACCACCGAGTCTTTTTGAGACCCTTTGCCCGCTCGGCGCTCGGGTCCGACCGTTTGTCGGCCGGTCGCTTTCCAGTCGCTCGGTACACACTCAGTGGCGCGGGCCTGTTCGTTTAGGTTTGTTGTCATGGTAAGCTTGCCACGACGGGCAGCCGGGCTGCCGAGCGCCATCGCTAGCTTGGCAAGGATGAAAAATGTCTACTTCTTTCTGCTTGCAATCAGTAGTGCGGCGGCGGCGGCTGATGCTCTCCCACCGACTAGATGGGTTCCCCGGAAGCACTGCCAAGCTCGGCTGTCACTCGATGCACAGAGCGGAGATAAAACGAAGAAGAATTCTGTTTGCTTAGGAGACGATTGGTCGGCAGGTCCGTCTGTTCGCCCGTCCGTACATCCATCCTTCCCTCGGTCGGCCGGTCGGTGTGCCTGACTGGTCGAGAAAATACGGATGGTCCCCGCGATTCCCCCCGACGGAACGCCGATATTCGTCTCCTCAGAGGCTTCACGAGTAGTCGACATCGACTCGAAGACGACTGCGAAGAAAGAAGAGCGGAGAGGAGCGCACGGATACGAGAGAGCTTCGGAGGGTGAGAAAAACCGGGGAGAAGTGGGGGACTCATAAATGAATTGGACTCGACTCGGGCTTAAACTCCGGGGCGGTGAACTTTCACCGCAGGAGATCTGTGGAGGATATCCGAAAAGGACGTCAGGAGGCCATACCAGCCTTCCGGGAAGTCTATCAAGATTCGGATGTTCGGAGAAGTGACTAATGAATTGAGTCTCGGGATGAGCTTCAATTAATTTGCGGGAAGGTATTCCCATTTAGGAGGAAGAAGCAAGTCTACTTTTGACTTCCCTCGGAAATGTGACATGCTTGACCGAACGACGCTCGATTCGCTCCCCTCGAATTTTCGATCAGGAAGTCTCGCTCGGTTCATGATTCGCAAAGCGCTGCTGAAAGGGCTGTAGTCTCAGCAAACCATGTGCGTCTCGAGTTACTGGCTGGCTCCATGTGCTGCTTGGAAGCGGAACTCTTCTCGATGACGCAAGGTGGCGCCACTGGTATCGACGTCGCTTCACACGCTCACTAGTGCAGCATCGAGACAAAAAGAGATATAAATGAATCCCAAGATGAATCCTCTGGATCTCCGAGTCATTTTCGGGGAAATATCAACGTGCAGCTCGAAGCTCCATGGATGAATATGATGTCAATGGAAGATGTTACGCTTATAGGGGGATACA